TGGGCCCCTCACCCCAAAAAGGCCATTGAATGACTCGAGCGTGGCCAGAGAAGGGCAACGGAGCTGGGGCAGGGTCTGGAGCACAGGTCTGCTGGGGAGCGGCTGGGGGAACTGGGGGGGTTCAGTCTGGAGAAGAGGAGGCTGAGGGGAGACCTCCTGGCCCTCGGCAACTCCCTGCCAGGAGGGGGCAGAGAGGGGGGATGAGTCTCTGGAGCCAAGGCCCCAGCGCCAGGCCCCGAGGGAATGGCCTCAAGCTGCCCAGGGCAGGGTCAGGCTGGCTCTGAGGAAGGATTTCTGTGCAGAAGGGGCTGTTGGGCGTTGGAATGGGCTGCCCAGGGCAGGGGGGAGTCCCCGGGATCCCTGGAGGGGTTGAAGAGTCGGGCTGAGCCAGCGCTGAGGGATCTGGGGGAGTTGGGAAGGGTCAGGGGGAGGGTCATGGTTGGGCTGGAGGAGCCTCAGGGGCTTTTCCACCCAAGATGATTCTGGGATTCTGTGAATCGTTTCTGTGGAGTGGCTGCGTTGGGCCGTTTGATAGGGGTGTGGGGTGGCTGGGGAGCTTGGACTGAAGGGAATACACAGGGAAGAGCTGGGAATTCGGGTTGGCTTTTCTGTGCCAGCGCTGGACAGAGCTGGGCATCAGCTCTGAAGTGCTGGGCGCTGCATTTATGTCGCGGGGCTGTGCAGCGCCAGCTGAGCCTCCTCCCCAGCCCGGACTCGGCCATCCCCGGTGACTCAAGCGATGTGGCTCTGGGCTCAGCCCAGCACTGAAGCACACAGCTGGGGGGTCACGGCGTGGGACTGTGCTCTCCTAGCCCGGGTGGATGAGGTGCAGGTGAGGCCGGGTGTAAGGCCCGGGTCTAAGGCCCCATTTGCCGCCGATGTGCTGAGCACGGTCAGCACAGACACGTTGAATCATCTCCCCAGAGCAGGCTGGGATCACCGGGGCAGCTCTGTGAATGAGGGGTGGGATTATCTGCTCTGTCTCCTGAGTGCAGTCAGATGACCATACTGTTAGAAATGGATTTAATATCCTTAATCGGTTTAATATGAACTTTGTTATCCCCACAGATAAATGTTATTCCTCTACCACAATAGCTGCTAGTCTGCCTCTTCTGGCCATGAGCCCTGCTCCTACCAGGCTGTGCTGCAGCCAGGGTTGGGCAGGGTCCCCCAGACCTTCCCCCTGCTCTGTGCCACCCGCTGCGGTGTCCTGCGTTCCAGGGAGCAGCTCCCGGGTGTCCCAGGAGAACGGGGCTCTGTCATCCTTCCTTGTTCATGCTGTGGCTGGACTAGGCAATGGCAGGTGGAAGCACACCCTGAGCCTGCCAGCAGCAAGAGGCAGGTGAGTTTGCTTTCTCGCAGAGGTAGGGGCTGTTGCTGAGGACACAGGTTTTTATTTGCCAGCATCTCGGCGATGGTTTGCTCTCCAAGGAAGAAACTGGTGTCTGTTTTACTTCTGCTATTCGAAGGACTCGAGGCAGGGACTGAGATCAAGCTCCTGGCAAGGGTCGCACCCGTTCCTGGCACTGGCAGGTTGTTCAGCTCCTGCTCCTCTCGCTCCAGGCCCTGCCCTCCCTGGTCTCCTGCAGAAGGGACAAACAATGCGAAATTGCTCTCCAGTCCTGGCCAGGACTCTCTGAGAAAGTTGTTGTGGTCTCAGGTTTCAGGCTGCTGTCAGTGGAGAGGTTTGGGGATGGGGAATGGCACTTCCCTCCATCTGCCCTCCGCTAATCCCCAGACAAACGCAGCTCTTCCATCTGTGCAGCCGGAGCCGCCGAGCCCATCACACCAGCCACTTAATCTAAATGGCTTTGGCCAAAGATAAGGTCATTAATTACACTGGGATTAGAAAACAGTCCAGGCCTGGCGTGGTTTGGCTCGCCATCAGTCAAAGTCCTCAGCACCTTGGCCCGGCTGAGCGTCACAGCTGGAGAGCTTGAGCTGGAAAAGACCCGTCCCCTGGCTGATGGGGCATCGTCCCCGGGGCGCTGCCTGTCCGAGGAGTCCCCTCACTCGGGTGCTGGTGTTTTGGCCTGGCTCTGGGGTGGGCTCCTGCCCCCGGCCCCCGGCAGGGCTGGGTGCCAGGCGGGGTGGGTGATGCAGGTCCCAGGGGCCAGCCCCGGGGGGAGCACAGGGGTGCTGGCACCCAGCGCAGCCCCAGTTCTCACTTCTGGCAGCCAGAGGTACACAGGCAGCGTCCCCCCGCCCGCATCCCCATCGCCCGCTGCCGCCCGCTCCCCCAGCCCCTGCCGTGGCACCGCACCACGCTGGGCCCCTGCTCGCTGCCCGCGCAGGCTGGGGGGGTGCCCGAGCCCCGCTGCTCTCGCTTGTGGCCGCCATCCCCCGAGCTCAAACCACCCCAAACCCCTTCGCCGATCTCAGAATCCACAGCTGTCTGTGCTGTTCAAGGACTTGTACTTGCCACTGTTTCCTCCCCCCCCTTTTTTTTTTTTTTTTACTGTCTTTTGGCTATAAAAGGCTCCTGTTGGCTCATCCTGCAGGAAATTTCTCACCCGTGCGGTGCCGGGGTGGGATGTGCCCCCTGCTCTGCGCTGCAAAGCGCTCTGGGGGGGACAGCGGGAGCTGAGGCCACAGATGGGGCATGAGTTTGGCCTCAGCCCTCCGCTCCTAAGGAAGAGGCAGCACCGCAGGGAGCCGGGGGGGACGTTACAGGCGGCGGCTCCGCGGCAGGAGCCGGCCGGCACCGGGGCACGGTGGCACAGCTGCCATCTCACCCGGCACCGGTGACCAGCTGGTGTCTGTGCCCGTGTTTGCTGGTGGGTTTAAAGGATCCGGCTGTCCCTTAACTCCCGTTCGAGGTTCTGGGTGATGACACCGTCCCAGCTCTTCCCACCCCAGTTCCCACACTGGGAGGACGATCGTGTCCCGGTTCCTTGGACAGGCTGGGGACCATCTGGGGAACGGTGTCACCTGGGGATGGTGGCTCCTGCAGACACGCGGCAGCTGCGGCCACTGAACTGAGCCGTGTCCTGGCCTCTTCTGTTCCCAGGTGGGATGGTTGTGCTGCGGAGCGTGAGGGGGATTGAATGAAGCTCTGGGTGATGGGCTGGGTGGGAGGGAGCCCTCAGGGGGGGCTGGCATCGCTGTGGTCACCGGGCTGGTGGGCAAAGATAACTAATGGGGAAACTGAGGCACGGCTGGTGAGCGGAGTTG